AAAGATGTTCATTAGATTGAATGGTATTAAAAAACGGTTTACTTTTTAGGTTACACTTTATTCAGTTATATTTAACATTGATTCTTTATAATATATTATCTTATAACGTGTATTCTGCCTTCAGAAATGATTTACAGGAAATATTGTAATAAAATCTTTAGTATGTTTCAGCTTTTCAGACTTTTTATTTAATTTTATTTTATACATCGTCATCCTAAGGGTAGGATACCCATCCTGCAGTCATTAATTAAGACTAAAAGTAAGTATGTTTTACTATCAAACATTTCTATGATAATTTCAATAGGTTTTTATTACAACAAAGACATTAATTGTTTTTTTTTCTGTTCCAGAACATTGCAATCGTGCGCGTAGGCAATGAAATACTCGTGTGTTGTATCGTGTGTTAAAATAAAATATAAAAAAGTCGACAAGTAGATTCAGTGTTGATCGTCGCATGTTAAAGTTTCGTTTGCTCGGTCAAGAAACTCGCAAGTTTCTTTTATTCAGTTTAAACGTGTGCTCATCGTCATCCTAAGGGTAGGAGACCCATCGTGCATTCATCGTGCATCCATCAAAGTGAGTATACTTTTGTATTAAATAATTCCTCAAAAATTGCAATGCATTTCGGTAATAGTAATGATATTAATAGAGTTGTTTTTTATTTCTGTTTCAGATTGCAATCGTGCGCGAAGCAATTGCATTACTACGGATCGGTGTCTTGGACCGAATGACCCATGTGAAGTGACCGGGAATGAAATTTTTGTTCTTGCATTTGACTGCGTGCAATGCAGTCTTTGAGTTAGTTGTAGAATCAGTGATCGGGCGAGTAATAAATTAAAATCAAACGCGAATTATAGAGTCAGTGTTGTTCGTCGTATAATCAAATTTCGGTATCGCGATAAGAAACTCATCTATAGTTTCTTATTTTCGTTTATACCGCGTTTTTAGATTAACGCGAGGTGCATCACCATGGTACAATAGAGCTGCATCTCATTGGAATACATTGTAAGTATTCATTTGTATTTACATTTTATTCGATTATATTTTAAATGGTTTGTAAAATGTGTTTGTAACGAGTGAGTCAAAAAATGTAAAGTGCTGGTTATACTTAAACATTATATTATTTATATTATACAAAACTAATTGCATTTCAGTAGATAGGTACGTAAAAATCATCGATAATATTATGTAACAAATTATTTCTTAAAAAAACTTACTCTGAAATCTTCAAATTCAAATCATTTTGAATAATATATATTATCTTTTTATTCTCATTAATAATAAAGGTTTCTTACCTTTTTAAGTTTAGGTCATAGACTTGATAAGACAAGAGCATCATCCTGATGAATCGTTCAGTCCCGTTATTCTTCATATTGCGTGATTAGGGACGTTACAGAGGGTGTCCAGTGACAACAAATAAATTTGCCAGCTCGTAACGAGTCTACATGTAACATGAAATTTCACGCGAGGGTCAGCCTTCAGTTTATCTCTATGATTCTTGATAGATAGAACTACATTTCCGGCGAAGTGTAGAAACTGTGAGAGGGTCATACGAAATTCATTCTTATTAATTTTAGTATTCTCACGAATTTTTATTGTTTAAATGTTTATATAAAAAAAAAAGTAATTAACGAACAATTTCTATTTGAGTTTGTAAATTTCTGTTAACCCTTAGAGTGCTATGGACACATATATGCGTTTGGTAAAAATTACGAGAGTAGTCTATCAACGCATATTCGTGTTTGTTAATATTAATGTAAAATAATATTGTAATGTTTATATTAATGAATTAAATTATATTCAGAAAGAAAAACTTTAATTATCAAATATAATTTATTATTAGAATTTAGTTAATAATAAATTATTCCGTTTCTACGAAACATTTTAGTTAAAAGTATTCACCACTCAAAAAGGGTTAATTTTATTTAAATAATCTTATATTTATTAGAATTGAAATTTTTATAATTTATATATTTTTTTGTTCACTTTCATTTAATTACAAAAATTATATAGAAATGTAGAGAAAAAAATCGAAGTTCAGTGAGAAATAATCGTTCAGATAATCGATTGACTATACCTAATCGCAACAACCAAGGGTTTCATTGTCTCGGCTCATAGTCCTGTATACTTATAAGCATGTATTCGATACGTATATACACTACTATGTTACATTCAGACTTCTTTTCTAAAAATATCGCGTTTCGTTATTCAACGTACGAAAGGAATTGTAATCAGATATGATCTTCTTGTTAAAAACCTTTACAATGCGAAGGGACATTGAAGAGAAAAAACAAGTAATAGGAAAAAAGTAAAAGTTAACTAACTACTAAATACGATTCTTTTAGACTTTGTAATATTATTCTTAAAGGAATAATTTATGTTTATATTTTTATTAAATGCAAGAATCTCATATGTGACGAAAATAATATTTTTCTCAAAAATTGATTATCAAACCGTGCTTGCAATTTTAATTCTTGTAAAAATTACATCTTACAAATTTATTAGGAAACCTTATACATATTTTACAATTTTTGAAACTATTAAGAAAAAGAAAAAAACAGCAGTGAAAATAAAACATTTATCGAAACATATAAAAAAGAAATGTTCATCTGAGTATCAGATTCTTGCGTATAAAATTTCGTGTTACATGTAGATTTTACTTTATTTTATTTTATTTTATTTTATTTTATTTTATTTTTGATTATATCATTTATTATTATATTTTCATTTTTTGATTAAGGTTACTAATTATAATTATACACACAATTGATATAATTCTCTTATAAGAAAGATATGAGAATAAATAGTAATAATAATTACGTATCGTACACGTGGAAACAATGCTTTAAGAGGATTATAGAAATTGGTCTCCCTAATCTTTTGGCCGTTTCGTTCTAACGAGGGGGAATAAGCTAAACTATTTGCTCTAAAGAACCAATCAGCTATTCAGCTGGTTATTATCTTATTTTCTCGTGAATCGGATGCATCGTTTCTTATATCTAACAGATCAAATATACCTGTCTAATGATATTTATTATAAAACGATTCACCTTTGTCTCATTAGGATTCATTTGTTCATTATTTTATAAATTAATGTAACTTCGTTAGGTCGAAATCTTAAATAACACATCGGAAATTTTATTTCTTAAAAATCTAATCGCAAAAATAGCAACAACAAAAAATGGATAAACAGATAAATGAAATTGTCAATAAATTAAACTTTAATCATTTTTATACAATTTATATTTTATTTTTAATATACATTTGATGATACAATTTATTTCATCTTATTAGAAGATTAGAAAGTTTCTTTTGGAAAATCCAAAGAAAATATATTCCATCGCTAATAGATAAGAAAAGCAGGTGGTGAAAACACTTTGTCAATGCGTTCTCGTCGATCAGTTGAAAGCCATTCTAAATCATAAATGACATAGGACTAACATAGTGCCACGTGAAAAGAATACAAAGCTAGAAAAGCTTGTAGAAGAACTACTAAGCCCTTAAATCAAACTATGTCACGTGGAAGAGTAAGCAGCTTTCTAAAACCCCTCGCCATTACTATATGTTTCGAAAGAAAATAAGAAATAAGAAAGATACAAAGAGAGAAAGATATATTGGTGAAGGAACAAACATTTTCTCTTCGTTTTTAAGATAAAAAGAGACAACAAGAGTAAAGTGAGATTCGTTTACAAATCGATGCGTTAATCGAATTAGAATAAAGTATAGTGGTAGATAGGAGGAGGTAGTGTTATCGACTTGAAATTGAATACCACCTGTCGGCTACAGGTCAAAGGTGAGAAAACCAGATCGATTCGAGCCTCCAAAGAACGCATTGCCAAACTCACGCGAATAAAACTTTCCTTTAATTTTCATTCATTCAATAAAAGCTATACTTATTTACACATGTTTTATCGAGTTGAAAAAAAAAAACAAAACAAAAAATAATTTAAAATATTGATCGATCGTAAGTGATTTCTTTAGACACTACATTTTTATTAAATTATCCAATAAATATTGTTTCAATTATAAATATTGTATATTTGAATGAACGATACTAGTAATTTTTTTTTTATATCAAAAATATTTAACATCACGTATTAGCTAATAATCAAATTAGTTTGTTTTTTTTTGTAATTATATTATATATTATATTTTGTCTATAACAAAACAACATTATAATGAAAATCTGGTTTATTTCTTCCAAAAGAATTACGCGCGCGATATATTTCTATATAATAAATAATATATAATATAATTATATAAAAATAATGCATAATAAGATATACATAAATATTATTATTATTATATAATATTGTAATGTATATATATTTACAAAATCGAAGAAAAAGATGTTTGGTTTCATTAGGGGGTTATTCTCGACGGGCCAAAAACTAAGTTGGCTTGCAATAATTAGAACGTGGCCCGCGTAGAAAGGACGTATAAAAGAGGGGTCGCACCTATTCCCAGAGCAGCAGCAGCAGCAGCAGCAACCAACAACAACCATAGGGAGAATATATTTCTTTAGGGCGCACGCGTGTTCACGCGCACGCGCCGAAAATTTCCTCTGATAACGGCGGGCGTCTCGACGTCGTTCAGTGTCGGCTCTGACGCCGTTAAAGCCGCGACTCTTTGGTGTGAGTCCACGTTGTTGACCACCATATTTATATATTTACTGTTATACGTTTTATTTCACTATTTGAGGAATATCATTTTGTCATTTATTTTGTTCTCTTTCTCACTGTCTCTATCTCCGTTTCTTTTTTTTTTTCTATTTCCTGTTTCTTCATTGATCGTCAAACGTTTTTGTCGTCGTATAAAAAGGAACAAAGAAAAACATGCATCGATTAGTAATTGTTTTTGGCAATTATCATCTTCAAACTCGAACAACGTTTTGTTCTTCAAATTTACGCCGATCGATTTTTCATTAATTAAGAAATAATATACAATGTGAATTTTAAAAAAGAAGAAGAAATTATATTCATTGATCGTTAATAACAAAACAAAAAAACAAAAAATAATAAGATAAAATTTCAAGGTAATATACAAATTTGTACGTTTGAAAGTGTCCCTCTATTTCCGTTGTTGTAACAAAATTTTATCCACCAACTACACGCATTTCTTTTTCTTTTCTTTTTTTTTTTGTTTTTTTTTTTTTGTTATAATTTAATACCTTCAAATTAAATTCATCAAATGTATATATAATGTTTTTATTTCTAAATTATCTTGTGTGCTAAAAACATTATATCACGTTATTTTTAACTGACAACGAGCAAAAATTTAATAAATTTACAGTGTACAATTTGTAATTGGTATTAACTGTAAATAATAATATTCCGTAAGTTTATTTCATTTTTGTCTTATAAAAAGATCAATCAATTTTCGAACATATACTTTTACCTTCGACAAAAATTATCGAAAGGTAGTTCTTTCTAATCTTTTTATTTACTCTCTCTCTCTCTCTCTTTCTTTCTTTCTTTCTCTTTATCTCTTTCTATTCAATATCACTTATCGCATCGTTCATCGAGTTCGATTTATGTCCTAATCTTTCTTTCTTTTTTATTTTTTCCTTTTGATTCTATCTCCTCATTCCCCATTTTATTCCTTTGCTAAGAAATTTTTCTTTTTCTCCCAGTATAAAAAAATATAAAATGAAAGAACAAAAAAAAAAAAAAAAGAAAAAAGAAAAACCCTATTACATTAAAGAAAAGAAGAGACTAGAGTGACACTTTCATGTTACGACACTTCACGCGATGATCTCTTTACACGCCATCGCACGTATGAATATACCTGTACAACAGCTGCCTTTTATGATCTTTTACATTTTACGATATCTTCGTAATATTTCTTTCTTTTGCACTCCCCACCCTTTCCTTATATTAATTCGTATTAGAAAAATATAAGATCATGCACAATGAAAATATTCTTCTTCTTCTTCTTCTTCTTTTTTTTTTTGTTCATTCGATATTTCCATTTTAATCAGATCCAAAGAGATGAATACAATGTGAGACTTTAAAAATGATAAAAGTACATTTTTTATAGTAATAACAACAACCAACAACAACAACAACAATATCATCATCAATAAAAAAGTGATTATCGTGATTGTTTGATTCGAAAAGTGTACCATTTATAGTCATGAAAGATCCAGTGACGCGAATTTTCGCGTTTCTCCTTATTATTTTTTGGACCTTATTATTAAAGAGGATATCACCTTCTGCAGGTAAGGAATAAGAAAACAAATAAAGTGTGTAATATGAAATGGATATATAGGGGAATCTAATCTTCAGAATTATCGTATACGATTAGGATTACCAAATAGGGTTCTTTTCATGTTTATTTTATTTCTTTTCTCAAAAATGTTTCGTGGAAGAGTCTCTTTGTAGAACTTGTCAAATGTAACTTAACGATGAAATAGAACGAGAAACACCTGTGTATATCTATATATATATATATATATATATATAGACGCACGGTCGTATGTATTTACTATCGAAGCATTCGTCATCTATCTATCGATATTAACGAGAACCGCACTAGATGCATGATTAAACGTTTTTCACACAGTGCATTGTATGCAAAATCAGTATTTGTATTGCAAACCCTTCCTCCTATCCCTTCCCCATCCCTCTAGCAAGTTTGTCTCTCCTTTTTTTCTTTGTTATATCCAAAGTCGTAAAACGTACTAACCTTGTTGGATTATTGAATTTGCGTTTGATTAAATTCTCAGTTCGTTAATTATAGAAAGTAAAATTTCATTATCGTTTCGATATTATTAACCTATATATCATTTCATTCATCTATAACCTTTTCTTATTATTTCTTTCTCTATATGGATTTAGAAATATCATATGTGTTATATATATATTTATGTATGTGTATAAAGATAATGTCATCGATAAAACGTTGACTATAAATGCGCTTTATGACATTTCTTAACGTAACATTTCATTTATATTCAGTTCAATCGATATATGTTATTAAAGAAGTGGTAAGAACTTCTATATAAAACCCATGTGTGTTTCAAAAATTGTTTAACAAAAAGAATATTCGTAAACGATGAAAATCAATGAGAAAAGAAAAAAGATATTGGAAAATTATTTAATTCATTAACCGACAGCTAATGTCCCATTTTTGGAATACATTTTCCAATTTTGGTTCTTTTAATAACTGCAATCTCAGAATGAAATAATATAGTCTCCTTAAAATAATACAATCGTATCACGTGTTCCATATTTAAAGTTCCAGTTAAAATTATTGTGAAAATCATTATACAGTCAATTTAATTATTCTTTTTTTTTTTTGTATTTTTGTACCGTGGCGGGTAATCGGTTAAAAAGAAAGAAAAAGGACCAATGCGTGTTTGTAGATACAAATGTCACGTCGTGATCCATAATTGGAGGCTGCAACGAGTGGAAACTGTCGAAAGGGGGATGATCTTTTTCTCTCTCTCTCTCTCTTTCTCTTCCTTTCTTTCTCTTGTAACGTGTCAATAGGCTTAACCTCTTAGCTTTTCAAGCCGATGAATTCGCACGACGACAACACCAGATGCATCATGTTTTCCGAGTATATTATTCCGAGTAATCGGATTATCCATGACAATTAGGATTCCTTTCGATTCCAATGACCAATCGATCGATCCTCCTGTAAAGTCCTTTTCCACAATAATTGTTCCTTTCATTTCCTTCTATCTCTCTCTTTCTCTTTTTCTCTCCCTCTTCCTCGTTCTTCTTCCTCTTTCTTTCCACAGATTAAGGCATTTCAATAATACATCATACATCAATCCATTCAAGTACAAATACGAAAACATTTTCTTACAAAATAAATTTTATTAAACGTGTAATATATTTTAATATCTTGTTAGGTACATGTAACATAAGAAGTATTAATATTTGATCGAGCTGATAAAGGAATCGTTCGAAAGTTTTATCGATGTTTATTTTAAATATCTTGGTAATATGTACAACAAGTATGATGAGAGCTAAATAAAAAATACTAGTATTTTCATTCATTATATTATTAACCTTTAACACTTCGCACATTTTTGTACCACTGCTTGTAATTAATTATGATAAGTATTATTTTTAAATATTTATTTATTGAATTTTTTAAAAGAGACCTTTCAACAAAGGAACTTCAATTCTTTTTTTATTACTATTTTTTTTTTATTTTTTTAACCAGTTAATTGACAATTAATCCGTAAATCTAGTGTTAATGTTTTGAATAATTTCTAATCATACTTTTTAAAATTAAAAATAATACCTTTTACTATTATTTAAAAATATACACACTTTCAATTTTTAAAACAAATTTAAAAGTAAAATCTACAAAATAAAATTCGACCAATATGCTCAGTGTATAAGTAATGTAAGCTCAGCAAGTTTTAACGTCTTAACAAATATTCTATTCTAGATCGTTTATCTTAATCTCGATTAACTTTCGGTTAATGGATTGAAAAATCTTGTTCGTCGATCGATCCAATCGTAGACGACTTTCGGTTTATCAACGCCTTCGGCGAAGTGCAGTTCTCCGTTATTGATTTTGTAAGAGAGAAAAGAACAAAAAAAAAGGTGTATAACGTTGGTCGGCAGAAGGGCCAGCCAGGAAAAGGGAGCGTTGATGGCGGTCGCGATAGCGGTCTACGCACATACATACATACATTCATCATGTATGCATGTATGCATGCATACATATATACAGTTAGTATTGCTAACGGTTCAAAACGATGCCACGGAAAGTAAAGTTCTCCGGCTGCACACCACCTTCCATTAACCAAGCAACCAACCAACACCCCACTCCCACCCCCACTTCATCCAACACACAAAATACACTTCCCTTCACAACCCTCTCCTTCATTTCTATTATCCATTCTGGTACTGGTCAGCAATAGCAACACAGTAGCAGCAACGACTTTGGACCTTCTCGAGGGCAATTTTGCAATAATGCCACGCGAAGGTTGAACCCGTGACATTCGCACTTGACCGTAATCAGAAAACGCGAGAACGTCGTCGTTCATGCTAAAGTCGCGTGTTTAGTGGAAACAAAAAAAAACCTCTCACGTGATTCAGGACACAGAACAATGATCGATATATAGTATTCTTTTTATCGATTTATTTCATCTATTTTCGTTTACATTTTTAACATAATCTAAGATTAATCGCGATACAGAAATTTATCGAATAAAAAAAAATGAGTCTTATAATTTTCTTATTTCTTTCCTGGAATACAATTTTTATATTGATAATTTCTTTCACGCAATTCGAGATATTGTAATTATACGATCAATACTTTTCTTTTCTTTATTAAAGTTTTGAATTTAAGATTGATCGATAATCAATCGATTATATTGAAATATTTAATCGAATTTTCAAGAAACGTTTACTAAAACCAAGCAGCATCATGTTTCATGATAAAATCTGGAAAAGTAAAGAAAATAAAATCATTGTCTCTCAACTGCAGAATATATTCGTAATTGTCGTTCACGTATCAAGAATTAAAAGTTAATTCCTTTATCCTGGTTTGTTTCGATCGTTGCTCGTTCGTACATACAAAGAATAGAAATGGCCAACGAAAAGGGTTGTTGTTTCTTCATGAGAGGGTGGGAATAGTGGTTTTGGTTTTTGCCCTTCCTTTTGCTCGAATATCCCCAAATGTCTTATTGGCTAGCGTCACGGCATCAGGTTTTATCCATTGAATCCGCTCGATGGCCTAACCAAGCTCAGCTTAGCTAACCAATCAGCCAACTCGGAAATTTCGGCATCGATTTCGCCGTCGTTAGCACTGCAGAGGTTGTTTATTTTGGCTAGCAGCAACAGCAAGCGAATGTCAGGTCAGGGCATCTGTTCTGTTAATTTATATACATATACATATACATATATATGTATATCCATCCTTGTCAATCTATCACTATATTCAAGCTGTCCGTAATTTTTTTGTATTCTCTAACACCATTCGTCATTTTTCTTCTTTTATCAAATCTCATAATCGCTAAACTAGTCTAATAAATTCTCTCTCTCACACACACAATTTCAATGTTAATCCTTTTGCACTCGAGGGAGACAATAAAAAAGAAAAAAAAAACTGAAGCAAATTCAATTTACAATTTAGTCTGCAACATATCAACTATGACTTTTCTTTTAATACGTATATATGTATAAACCGTTTATTTTAAAAGTGTGCTATAAGTATATTTAAAAAAAAAAAAAAAGTGAGTTATCACGGTATTTATGATAACTTTTTAATGTAAACTTTTTATTTATAACTTGTTAGTATTTAATTTGTTAAAAAAAATGTCAATGTGCTTTGTCCAAGCCAATTGAAAATTAGCTTGAAAGAAATTTATATACTTAATCAAATTACATATTGATAAAATAATACAAAAAAAATTTCAGATTTGACATAATTAATATTTTGGAATTGACCAAATATAATAAAATCTTTAAATTTGCACCACCTTTCAAATAAACGTTTCGTATAATTTATTTATAATACATGAATATAATATTTCTATTGAAATTGTTTTATGAATTATTGCTAATATATGAAATGAAAAAAAAAAAAAAAACAAACAAAGAAACAATTTCGAGTGGAAAGAAATTAATTTTCATGCATACACCTTTAATTGCATTTTKTATTGTTGAATTAATTAATTAGTAAACAAAATTATTTATAATTAAATGAATGAATAAGAACGAAAGAATAAAAATTTAACTAGATAGAATTTTGAAAAAGGGTGGAGATTTTAAGTTTAATAATAAAGATGATTTCATTTTTCATCGAGTAGTAGGCGGACACCTCTATTAAAAGGACTTCGTAACTCGTACACACAAACTTGAACGGTCATACATCCTACGTGTGTAAGAAGATGGAAAAAGAAAAGGAAAGTCTCGATCATAGTAATAGCCCTTCGTTCGTTCGAATTATATTGACGGTTTATCGTCTGATAAAGGAGAGAAAGAACATTTTCCGAGAGAATTCCTTGCAGCATGAAAAATCGTATTAGATTTGCCGGATAATTTCTCTCTCTCTCTCTCTCTCTTTTTCTCTTTTTCTCTCTTTCTCTCTATCTCTCTAAACATATATTCACACAAAACCACGCAACATCGTTCTTATATATATAGGAGAGCTTTATCTTTTGTTTCCACAAAATTGGTGGGTGCGTTTCGTATACGAACCAAAATGCTCGTTACGGTATTGTTCTTCCCCTGCACACACACACACAAC